TAGGCTTTATCAATCAAAGCTCTACTTCGTATAAGATCTCGGAGCCCGCCTAGCCCGTTAGATCGTATATTAAACTAGCTTATAAAGGGCTTCCGTCTTATAATATAAGGTGCTATCTTACTCGCTAACGAAAACAAGGAATTACGCGCCGCTAACGAGAAGCAGAAGCAAAAGCGTACTAGATCCCGAAGGTATATACCTATAGAAGAAGGCCTCTCAGTTCAAGAAGCCTCTGTATTAATTATATAGCAATAGGAAGCAACTAAAGCACCTCCCCCCGGCCCTGGCATACCTAGAGAATCGGCTATTCAGCCACGTACGCGGCCCCCCTAGGGGTGTGGAATATGTAGGAAGCCAGGATATAGAAGAGAGACATATCCAGATAGATGATGATTTTAGTTTATTCAATTTAATAGAGTTTTGGTTGACGTATATACATTTAAATTAGTAGGTTTTAGTTGGGGTGGCCACTCGCTTATAGTGGCCACTCGCTTACCGAATACGTTAGGAACTAACGGTAAGTACCGACTAGTTATATTTTAGTTAAAGAAGATAGTTCTAATAGAACTTAACTATAATATATATAATAAAGAACTATTAACTATAGTATTAGCGTTCTAAGTCTAGAGAGTATATCTAGAAGGAGTAAAGTATATAGTAATAGTTAAGACCGATTATAAGAATCTTACGTTCTTTACTATAACGAAGAAGTTAATAAGACGATAAGCGCGATAGGCCAAAACCCTTATATAATACGATTTTAAAATCGAATACTATAAAGGGATAGAGAATAGATAAGCCGACGCTTTAAGTAGACGACTAGACTATAAACTAGGAACTAAAATAGCGGATCCTACTATATTAAGATAAAACTCTAATAGTACTATTTTATATAATAAGTAGTTACTAGCCACAACGATAGAAGTTAAGGATAACGATTTCTTATAGAAAATCAAAGATATATTAGAGGAAGATATAATTAATTAACTTATCGAGAAGGGTAGAAAACTTACTAAAGATAACTAAAGATTACTCTATATATATAGATTAATATATATTCTAAGTAAGCTAAGAGAAGAGGTTATATATCGATACTACGATAATATCTTATATAGATATATAGGAGTAGAAAAAACTATTAAATATATTATACGAAATTATTATTTTCTAAATATATAGCGAAAGGTTCGATTCTATATCCGCGTTTACGATATATACTAACGAAATAAACCTATATAATACGTACCTTATAGAGAATTATAGTTATCTAAGATATTAACCTAATTATAGGAATAGATTATAATAGACTTTATTATAAAGTTACTAATCTTAAATAGATATAATATAATTATAGTTATAGTCGATAGGCTTACTAAGTACGCCTATATAATTCCGACTATAGAAACTATCGATACTAATTAAATAGCGAATATTATACTTTAATATATAATTATAAATTATAGGATACTAAGTAAGATTATATCGGATAGAGATAAGCTATTTATATCGAATATATAGAAGTCTTTTATAGACTAGATAGGTATTAAGCTTAGACTCTCTATTATATACTACCTATAAACTAACGATTAGATAGAAAGAGTAAACTAAATAGTAAAATAGTACCTATAATACTATATAAATTACTAGTAAGATAACTAGGTAGGACTACTACTAATAGTATAGCTAGTATATAATAATATAATATACTCTACGACTAACGAAATACTATTCTTTATAAATTATAGATATAATCTAATAGTATTCGGAGAACTAATTAATAAGATAGCCGTAGTAGAATTAGCGAGACTAAAGGCTAGCGGACTAAGAAAGTTATATACGTAACTAGTTAGAGATATTAACTTTATTAATCTATATATAAAGAAATACTATAACAACTACTATAGAGAGGGACCTAACCTTAAGAAGGGAGAAAAGGTTTATCTATTATAACGTAATATTAAAACTAAGCGACCTAGTAATAAATTAGACTACCTATAACTAGGACCGTTTAAAATTAAGGAAAAATTAGGACTAGTAAATTATCGTTTAAAGCTACCCGAAAGTATATAAAAACTCTATATAGTATTTTATATCTCGTTACTCGAACTAGTACTAGATAACGCTAAAATTATAACTAATATAGAAATTAAGGAAACCGAAAACGAATATAAAGTCGAACAAATCCTATCGGATAGATAGTATAATAATTAGTAATAACTCTTAGTTTAATAAAAAGAGTACCCTACCTTAGAAAATATATAGGAACCTATCTAGAACCTAAAGGGCTACTACTAGCTTATTTAATAGTATTACTAATAAGCGAAAAAGACCCCTATATAACGGAAAGCGAGGAGGGTATAAAACCGGATTTATCCTAAAAAGAAATAAGGAAATTAGTAAGCTCCGCTAGTATCTAATTAAAGTTCGGATAATCGGTAATAATAGTAAGCTACTCGAGATTAAGAGTAGAAGGAGAAGCCTACTCTAGGGATATTTACTTTTTATCGAGAATTTAAAGGAGTTTAGTATTATATTCTAATATTTTAAAACCTTTTTATTTTAGGAAAGATATTTATTTATATAACCGACGTTATCTAGATATTACTTCTTAGTATTATTTTTATTTATTTAATAATTTTTAATATAGCTCTATAAGATAAGCTTATAGTTTACTTAACTTAGGTTCTAATAAATCGAGTTTACTTTCGTTCGTTTTAAGATCCGAAGAAAGTTTAGTTTCGGTATAATATAATAAATCCTATTCCTAACTAGTATAAAAGTTACGCTTATATAAGCAACCTACGCGAGTATATAAGATATATTTCGAATATTAATAAGAACGATCTATTAGATAAGTAATATCTACCGATTTATAATAATTATAAGAAATAGAGATAGTAAAACTATTATCCTTAATATAAGTTACCTAACGATAATAAGTATTAGAAGAATCGGAAGGAAGTTTAGGAGTAAGTAAAGAAATAAAGTTAGCCTTTCGTTTAGATATAATAAGGAAGTATTATTTTAAGGAAAAGAAATCTATTACCTACTAAAAGAGGGATACCGTAGCTTTATAAGTCTTAGGGACGAAACTCCTAGGAAGAGGGGAGGTAATATTACGGACCTACCCGTTACTAATTAGTAGTAATCTACTAGGTATACTAATAGGCTATCGAGAGCTAACTAGTAAGATCTATTAGTAGATTACGTATAAGCTTACTAAGTAAGAGTATAATCTACCCTAAGCGGATCTACCCTATAGAGGATTTCCGATATATAGGTTACTCTACGTACTAGACAACCGCTACTTAGTATTATATGATTATATAGGTAGTAGAAGGGTAGTAAGTAGATTAGTAAAATCCGCTAAGGCGATTCTACTATTCTACTATCTACTATTCTATATAGGAAGAACTTAGGGATATATAAGGATACTTATTTATATATCTAGTTTAGTTCTTCGTCTTTAATTATATATTATTACTTATATTTACCTTTTAGATTATTATAACTCTTTACTTAATTATAACTTAATAATACTTACGAGTAGACTAATACCCTAGTATCGATCTACTCGGCGCTCTACCTAGCATCAGTTCCTTAATCGCTCAAAAGGACTTAGGCTACTATAAGGCCCCGCGCGGCATTAGCTCAGTTAAGATCCGATCATTAACGTTAGACCATTCGAGGAGTATTAAGGCAAGTATACCCTGAACCCATCTAACCTAACTATGACTAGTTAGCTAGTGCGTAACACAAAGCCTATCCATATTGTGAGTAACAGTACTCAGAAAATTTCGCGTAACTCACCTGTTTTATCATAACGCCTCCTAGGCCTTGGCATAGGAATATTATCCGCGAATCCTTGTTTTCTTAGCCCCTAAACGGTAAAGTGGGTTCTAGAAGGCGATGTTACCCACCTTGAAAGACCATTGAGGTTGGCACAGTTGTTGCAGAAAGACCTTCGCTCCTTCTTAAACACCTTCAGCACTACTGCAAAAAGTGCGAGTAGAATCATATTCGTATAGAAACAACTGTACTCCCCAGCTGCTGTTTCGGAAAGACAAGTCTTGAAAGAAGGCTTTCAGCCATCCTTCAGTGAGCTGCGTGTTGGACGGTTGCTGCCATGAAGAGTTTGAGCACTTTTCATCTGCATCCATAAAGTCAAGGCCATGGACAGCTATCACGCTGCTCATAGTATAAGCTTTTGCTAGAGTGAAAGTAAACAAGTCGTATCCTACTTAATAGTATATCGACCTAGGTCACTTTTCGAGTCCGGATAGATTTAGCGTAGGGTCTAGGACAGTTGGTTAGCAAGCATATTTCTGATAATAATGGCCTAGGGCTGGTGAATTGGCTAACTTACCATAGCGAAGTCGGGACAGAACAAATTGTGTAGTAGTTTTCAGATTTAAAGATGTTAGCAATAATGATTTCCCACGGCGAGGATAGAAGACTTTATAGTTTTCGCTAGCTATAGAAACCTTCGCGTAATTCATAGTGCTGTAAACTGGCTTCCTAGGAGCCAGGTTGAAGGAAGCTTCTAGCTACAGATAATCTCCGCCTCGATATTATTTCTAGGAGCGCGCATTGATTTCTAAGGATCAGAGCAACATTTTACCAATGTATTTCCGAACTTCAGCGCCTCGGCTAATATACTCGCACGATTCCTAGGAGCATATCGGCAAAGAACATCAATATGGGGCCAGTCATGCTTTATTTTGGGAAAAGAGGCCCAATCATACCTCCTAGGAGCTTATATTCTTCAAATGTTGTTAATCTCAGACGTCTTCATTTCCCCGATTCTTACACATAAATACATCCATATAGCCCTCAATATCCGGACTAGCTAAAAAACCAAAACTTTCACGATTCTTGATCAAGGTACGAAAACTACTCTCGAGGGAAGAAATCTCGCTAATCGGCTAGTGATAGGCTATTCTGTTTTGACGCCTCAGTCTGGCCAACCAGATATTCCAAATTGTCTCAAAATAGGCATCATGGCCAAGGATAGAGCATTCTGTGGCCCACTGAACTCGGATGATAACTATATCCCTACAAACGACGGTACCGCCGAGCGGGGCACGAATGACAATCCTATCGTTATAAAAGAGGATAGCGAGCAGGAGGGCTCGAAAACCAACCCTATCGTTATAAACGACGATGCCGACGCCTTAGACAAGGAGGAAAGATCAGTGCAAAATGATTTTACCAGGGATACGGAGCCTTTGAGTACGCCAGAATTTTGCGCGATTTTGCGCAATCTGGGCGACCAGGGCTTCCACGTTCCACAGAACAAGCCCACAATAACAGACTTGGCTTATGGCTTGCCATCATCTCAATCGGTCTATGGTCAAATTTCCGATTGTACCTGTTCCCCTGAGCCTGAATCAATTCACAACGACCATCTGGAGGAAGAAAGACCCCAAGTCGCCAAGTCTGATAATGACAAAGAAAGTACGTTTATTCGAGCCATTGAATCTTGAAATTTGCTTTGCTAACGAGACTAACTGCCGTAGCCCCACCAAACAAAGATAAGAGCTGTGGTCTAATAGCAGAAACTGACACATCTTGTGGTCAACCCAACTTTTCGTGGTCTAGTCAAGGGGAAGAGTTAGAACCATCTCCTAAGACTAGCCAGGCCGACAGTGGCAATCCGCTCCGTCTACAAAGATCCGGTAAACGCAAAAGGGAACACGAAGGCGAGAACAATTATGTGAACAGACGATCAAACCGCCTAGCGAACAAGAGGAAAAATGACTGGAACAGTAGTGTTCTCACCTCCTAGGGCTAGCTACCCAAATTCTCATTCATCCACCACTCTAAGATGCGATTGAGATATTCCCACATGTTTTGCTGAGTCCAGCTCTCTTTATCGCAATTTGAGGCTTTGGCGGAAGTCTATTGAGATACGAGGCTGGTGCAGAACAGGAACAATGCCGCATCATCAAAAGCATTCCTACACGATGTATACAAAGAACCGAGTCCCGAGTCGAGTTTCAATCAACTTAGATCTCAATTTTATGTAAACTTTGCTTCGTGCTTATTGAATTTTGATATTTCTACCAAAATTCGATACCAACCCTTGATTGGCGGCAGAGGTTGTCGTCAATTTTATCTATCCTACCATAGGTGATCTGGATTATCTGCGATGATAAGAGACCATGGTATAGGTGGTACCCGGATTCTTGCTTTGCCCGGATAGATCGAATGTAATAGATGATATATATTAGTAGAAATTCGCAATACCCCGAACGTAATATACAAATCATAATATAGTCGTCTATAAAGACACTACCCAGATAGGCTCGTGAGTCGTTGTGTAGAGTGAGAACCCTATTGGGTAATTTCACCTCGTATTGAATGGCAGTTGCTAGGGCGTATCCTTAGGTGTGTTTGGAATATGTTGGGGCCATTTATAAAGGTGGCTTGACCACTTAGAATTATTCCGTCCGGAACCTGTGGAACCCATCGTATTTCCTCCCACATTACTATTGCTTGATCTTTTCGCTCTGCGGCCCCTTTTACTGAGTAAATACAGTAGGACGGGAGTATATGATTGCGGCGTATTAAAAGAGATAAAAATACAATCCTCATATCCTCCTTTCATCTGCTTTCAAACCACAATTTCTCAACGCCGGCGATATATGATCGGACTTTCCGGCAAAGGCTCGATTTTATAAAAAAGGGAGACCTTTTGATGATTTCCGAGAGTGTACTTATCTGTTTGGATCCTCTAGCCTCGATATCGTAGGTATGTTATATACATGTAATAAAAGACAAGAATATTCTGGACGCTCATCACAACCCCTCGGCCGATCTTTTTACCAACACCCCTTTAGCCGTCTTCGGGGATTTCATCAACCTTGCAATGTTAATTTGGAGATTGAAATTGAGATGGGGGAGGTAGTTTAAACCATATAACTTACGATTAATACGATAGAAAGGAACGGATAGCGGCATTGACACAGCGGTCGGTTACTTCGCTTGGGATGGTATCCTCGTAAGGGTGGTTGCAGCTGCTATCCGTGCTCAAGGTAATGTTGTTGCCACTATCGGTGGAGATCTTGACCGATTCTGTGCCGCTACCTAGAGTCTGGCATCCGGCTTCGAAACCTCCAACCTCTTTGCCCGCACCTGAACAATGGGGTGTAGTGTAGTAAGTGACGGACCACAGAGCAGAAGCTGGTATGGCCAGTCCAAGGGCGAAAGGGGTTTCAAGACGCATAATTTCGATGTTTACGTGAAATACAGGATATGGAAATAACAAATTGGGAGTCAAGATACTTGAAAAAAGTCCATTTTTATAACTCCTTCCAAGCCAGAAGTGCTTCTTTACAGGCTGTACAGTCGTGTCTATGGTGCCAGCCGGGCCGGCTCAACGAAGACATCGCTGAGCTCTCTCCAAATTCACCACTCTCACCCAATTCATCATTCTCACCCAATTCACCACAACCTGTCAATTCACCATGCTATCCCAATTCATCACTCTCTCCCAATTCATCACTTTCTCCCAATTCACCACAACCTGTCAATTCACCATGCTGTCCCAATTTATCACTCTCCCAATTCATAACTCTCCAAATTCATCACTCTCCAAATTCATCACTCTCCAAATTCATCACTCTCCAAATTCATCAATTACATGACCCGGTCCTATCTTTTGGTACGTTAAATATCAATCAACCTACGTAAGTGATCGAAATTTCCCTGTCCCTCTGAACTTCTATACGACGAAGGCCCTTCGATTCATCAATTATGTTGGGCAGACCAAGACAATACAGCCATTTATTACTCACAACCATATGATTGAACAACTCATCATCTCCACGAGCTTCTAGTCATTACATAATCAATTGGAGCAAGATAGAAACTACCATGTACAGTACTATTACACCGGTTTTGACCAAATGGATTCCATAGTGATCCAAGCGTACATACCAACCAAACATACGGAGAAATAGTTCATGACTGAAACATACGTGTTTCGAACATACCCCCACTGGATTTAAATTTCCGACATTGTGGCTTGCGGTAATATACTGTGGCTGTGCGGTCAAATATCTACGCTGAGTACAATACCGTACATACCTTGTACCAGAATTCCACTCAAAAAACATGTAAACATATTACCGATCAAGGGGCCAGCAGCCAAACATTCAATCTATTCAATCCGACGTCTAAGACACGCTCAAATCAGTATATGATGACTATTCCGTGACTAAGCTTAGAGAATCAAATTCAGCAAATTCATCCTGCCGTGGTGAGCTGAGAAGCCCTAGTACGAGGCCATCATATCAACCATGCTAGCGTTGTTTGTTTTTAACAAAAGGGACGGTGACGGGGGAGAGGTTGGATATATTTTCTGCCTGCGGTACACAAGCATACGCTTAGAAAAATTGCTTACTAAAAATCTCACACCCATAACTTCCGAAATGTGGCTGGAATACGTTTTCCCATGTATATGGCCAGCTGTCTGGACAATATAAAAGTTAGGCGGAAGGAAATTGGGGAAAAGGGCAGGGGGGTATCTCATGTTCGCCAAAGGATAGGTATCGGGGATTCACCCCCTTGAAGGGCTTCATCGCGTTACGGGAATTGGTGATCACCGGTATTTGTATTGATAGCATCAATAGGAAGCTGGTCCTCTTCCTCGGTATAGACTGGTTGTCCACTACGTAAGCGACTGATCTCAGACAAGAGCTTACCAAGGACATTTCGATGGTATTGCGTTCCAATCTCGTATGCTTCGGATTCACGAACGATGCGTTTAAGTGCTAATAGTCGGTCCTATAGCACGTGTTGCCTCCGATTTATATCGATCGCTGCTAAAAATAATTCATTCTCTCTAGATAAGATTGAGGTCTACTCTACGTCGGAAAGAGCTCTTAAGATAGAGATTTCATCTAATCTAGTAAAATAATTAGATTAACGGTCGATCGATTAACAAAGGGTTCATTTTTTATATATAACACGGAGTTTTCCTCCGCCATAAGTATAGTATTTTCTAATATCTATAGGCTTTCGCTAAATAGCCGCAATTCTATTTCTTCGAAGATATCAAAGCTACTAGAATCCGATTCGTATAAATAGAGCGAGGGCGAATAATCTTTCTACTCTTTAAAAGTACCTAAAAACCTTTTATATATATCTTAGGTGTTCGAAATTACCGCCCGAAGATAAATGTGGACTTTGCAACTGAGTTTGATATCGTAAGAATATGTACCCTCTACCTCTGATATAATACTCCAATCGCTTTTTGACGGAAAGTAATTGACGGCCAACTTTATTTAGGAGCTCGCTAGTACGCTCACTAGCTTGAATATTCTCTAATAGAGCAAGCACGCCGCGCTGTGTAGCTTTTGCAACTTAGACTATAGTTGTACCTGTACTTGTCAGGTCAGGCATTATGCGCTTGGTTAACTGTAGATAGCGAACTTGTTTAGCAAATATCTCAATAAGTCAATATGGGCAAACTCACTATAGTAAAGAGGAGTTATTGCTGTTTCTGTCCTCAGATATAGTATTGCTGCTTGAATACCAGAGAATATTATAAATGATGGAGATGGGGTTTCTTTGCATTGTATTTATATAGCAGCATCATTGATATCCTCCGGCATATCTATAGGCAGCAACCTAAGGGGTTGTAGATATTGGTTGAGTTCCTAGGACGTCTACCTAGGTCTTTTGCGTAACAAGGTCTGGCTGGGCGTGCGGCAGGCTCCCAGGAACGGGGGTTGTTCGCTATGAATGTCTCAGGTATACATAAGGAGTGGAGGATATACGCTACGAGTGACCCATATTAAGTTCTCTAGAGCACGAGGAAGCCCCTTTCCTATACTTCCTAGCGCGACATCTTCTAGAGTCAAGGAACGGCTATTTTCCCCGGCGTAGCCCCTCACAAAATTGGACATCTGTAAACATAGAGGGTGGTAAAACGGTCCGAGTTCCTGAGAATATGGTGATATAGCGAATTCGATTATCGTCTCGACCTCCGCGCGCAGAAACATTTTCGTATGGTCCTGCAGAGCGTGCGGCCAGCTCCTAGGAGTAACATATTTGGAGCCTCACAAAGAAAATACGAGTGCTTATGCAAGTCTGGATGCATACGCTTATTGGCAGAGAAGCGGTTCTCCATCTCCACATTTTAAACATCTTCTCGGCTAAGCTTTGTACCAGGACATTTTGGGGATTTCCAAGTAGACTGATCCAATACCCTGGGCTCCGGTAGTCTTCCAAAGCCTGATTAGGAAATCGTAGGACCGAGTAGACATAGCGTTCCCAGGAGCATCGAGTATAGAATGGTAATGCTGATTGGATGGCCGAGGAGCAAGCTCCGTTATGGCGCAATTAATTGCAGCCATTTTACCAAGATTAAAGATCACATTGATAATGCCAGGCTTTTTTTGATGGGACGATAGGAGCTATCTAAAAGTGGAGGGGTACACGTGATGGAACTAGCGTGTTGCATTTTATTGATGTAGCTTACTCAGGCCGCTCACCCCTAGGCACAGCTCAGACTCAGTGAGCGAATCAGGGCGCTCAGATCAGGATCAGTGAGCAGATCAGAGCGCTCAGGTGACGATCAGATGATGCTCAGTAAGCAGGTTAGTGTGCTTATGTAATGCTCAGTGAGCGGATCAGACCGCTCAGGGGCGTGCTCAGTTGTACTCAGTGAGCAAAAAGCGGCAAGGTCTGAGCACTAGAACGGAAAGGGAACGCCAAGAAGTGGCAGAGGAAATCCAGTATGTAGGTACGTATGTAGTCCACTTAGGTATGTACCTAGTTTGGTACTGAGTTATACAGTTTAGGAATTCCACTAGTCCCAAAAGGGTAACTATATCAATTAGGCAGGAGGCCTAAACTAGTAAGTCGGGCTATATTGGAGGAGTACGTAATCTACTGAGTCTTCTTGTCATATCCACTCCCCTAGTGAGGGTCGTAGGACCCGAAGTGGATCCATACAACCCCCGGAGGCATATATATCTCGATAAATAAGAGCCAAACATTTCCCAAACTCTCTAAAGAGGCTAGATATCATCAAAAGATCATTATACTACAAGTTAAGGTGTTTATAGGCCAACGTTGTTAAGATCTCAAATTGTAATCTATCGCATTTGCTATGTGTTTTGGAGATGGCGGCTCGCTTGTGGTGGCGGCTCGCTTGTGAAATACGTTATATAGTAGAACTCGGAGTATATTAGAAGCTTAGAGTTTAGTTTAAATATAAGTAGTACTATATATATTAGCCTTTATAGTAGTATTATGTCGAATACCAAGTCCGAATACATGGTAGAAACCAGGTAACATACCGAAAACATCATGTGACAGTGGGTACCAGGCATACCATACAAAAGTGCATATTACAGTTAGTCATCATGGTCCGTACAGATTGTTTGAAAAAGCGGATTTTGTCAATTTAGTTAGTTAGAGTCTTTAACATTGGTCATCTATACCATACATTGTTCGTACACCAGCTTTCTGTCACTATCAACTGGCGGCCACCCTGGCTTAGTGGCCATAAGGGTCCTCGGTCTTCTGACTACGGTCTATATGGGTCATAGGTATTTTGATCTATATCTCAAGTGCATTTATTCATCGTCTACTGGGGTGGAGATAAAACTGTCACAATGGTTGCCCAGGGGAGAGCATCTAGTAGAAATTTAAGCCTAGTGCTTGGTATAGTACCGCTGGGGTGAGGCTGCAAGCAGAACAGCCATTGAACTAGACCTGCAACACGATATATAAATGCCTTACCCTGCAAAAGGGTAGCATCCGATATACCCCGTGATTGGTGCCAGGCAGATAGGACACTTCTCCATTGTTCCAAGACTTCCTACGCATGACCTGCAGACCATGTGCCCACATAGAATGAGCACCCAGCGATCTGGCTGCATATAGCAGATCCTACACTTGATTTTTCTTGTTGTATATCATTTTACAGGGGCGGGGTGCCTCATATATATCTGTTCCCAATCCCTGCCATAAGGCTCAGCCACCGTGATACTCAACATGACCCTCAGGAAAATTGCAACTCGCAAATTCTAAAAGGTGATATAATTCAAGTGATAGTAAAATTCATAGCCCGAAATTTCAGACCCCTGAAAATATTCCATTATCATGAAGGTTATGAATCGATAATTTTTTACTCTATCGGTGTTAACCGGACATAGGGAATTGGCGTAATGGTTATAAGGTGCAAAAGCGCAATGGGAACAAGATACGTAAGCATAAGCGCCTACGAGATAAATATAATATATAGCCACTTCTATATTATGTATAATATTTAAATCTTTAAGTTCTATTATCCCATATTATCTTGATTGCCTCAGAATGAGACTTCTTTCTAAAATCGCCCGGAAATTAGAATAAGGATAAGGCGATTGTATGTAAAGAACTTCAGCTTTAAGCATCAAAATCTTAAGAGTTGACGCCTATCGTGGGCGCGATGCCGCTATTGTGGCGCATTCTAAAATAAGTAATGCCGAAATTAGTCTTTCCTTTTTGCATTTGAGGCCTTTAACTTGCAAAGCAGACGGTTGAGCTCCCAGAAGCACTCGGTCTCCTAGGAACGGAAGTATGGTTCCTGGAAACCAGATGGGTGCTCCTGGGAACGACATAAGTATTCCTGGGAGCCCGTGTAGTCCTAGGAACCATACTTCCGTTCCCAGGAAACTAGCAGCCTTTAGCCATCGATAGAAGTGGGACACCTATTGGCTACAAAAGTGCGTAAACGACATTGGAAATATATTAAACTATAGACTTAACTCCGACTTCTGGCCGCAGATAAGCCACGTATAGAAGCCACACACTGGTTAATTAGCAGTATGGTGGGTGCCTACATGCGGATCGTGAGTGTTGTATGGTTTTGATTTTTGTAGTTTTGTTCCATTTTTGCTGTGGTTTTTCGGCTAAAAATGCTTGATTTCATGCGTTGAGCCTCACAATTGTTGCTCCAGCATCAATTGACGCTGCCTAATGCGGGGTTTGGGCGGAAGTAACATTTGATTGAACCTGGGTGATTTTAAGCGATTCGTGGTTTGCTAGTTGCAGATGCAAATGCAAATCATATGCACCTCCTTCATTCCATTTGCCAACTCCCTAGTCAAAGGAAGCTACTTCGCTTCTTGACCTGTCATCACGTTTCCATATGAAATCATTATATGAGACCATATAGATTATGATGGTGTGGGTGGGGGACATCACAAGAATATCGGTGGTCACACGCTAATCTTCGTCCATTTTGAGGGCTTCTCAATTTTCCAAATCAGACCAGATCCCACTAAGCTCGTATCGTTCAGCTTCTACCCATCAGCCGACATTCGAATCTGAAAAGCAAAATCAGACAGAGCAAAAGCAATATGCAGTGCCAGTGCAAAAGGGCCCCATTCGAATATTGCTACTTTGACAGGGATGCAGGGAGGTGATATCTAGTTACCCCATCAGCCGCTGGTCGGATGCCCACATCGTTGAGGATCATAACCGGGGCTCAGCCCCCATCGCTACTACAAGCCACCCCGCCACATCTCCATCCATCAACCATTTCGCCAAACCAGAAGTTGAAACTCCTCTCATTCAGCGGGCCATATCAAATCATTCCAATATCAGCGTCAGTAGCAACACGGGAGCACGGGAGTGGGACTGAAAGAAGGCCTCGGAATCAGGACACGAGGACAGAACACTTACGGGTCAACGAAGACCATGGTGCAGACACGTTTGCGCTTGGTATTACTATGGTTTGATGGGGGCAGTGATACCCATCGGGAACCTTGGAAAGTTGCTACTTTGTTCGAAAGTTATTTGGCTTTGTCCCAGGATGAAAGCTCCTTTCCAGAAATTGGGGGAACCTTACCGAAAGGTTGAAGCGGAAGAAATTAGTCGGTGACTTGCGGAACGCCTTAGTGCTTACTCTGCGGGGCATCCACGGTTCCATTCGAAATTTTGGCACCTGGCACCTCGGACTCTCTCGAGTATAGGCACTGAGCTACTTTAGAAGTTTGAGTTGGCTGCTTACTTGCATCCACTGCTGACGAATGCCTGCAGGCTTGTTTGTACATATTTTCTTGTGTCAGCGAGGCACACATACCTCTATAAAAATACGGTTCTAGTAATGGCTTTCCGGGCCCAGAACATGAAGCACCTACTGTAAAAAGAGTATTTATTTCCACTCATATGGCAGCACACATTTGGATGGAACCTTATTTTCCAGGTATGACGCCTTGAATCCAATTGGGATGTGAAATTCGAAAATCTTCCCTTTAGAGCAGATCACTGCAATGTCAATTTTGGCCCTTCGTTGGGCATCCGCGTCAAATCCCTGCAACATCACTCTCCATTCAGGAACCCCCAATCATGTCCCTATGACTAGGCCATGCATGTGTCACCGTCGTATCCAAAGAAAACTTCAGCTAAGCCACTGCAGTGCCGAAAAATTAGTTCATCCAAATGTCACTATGGTTTGTTCTGCGGGGTACAGGTGCCGTACATATAAGACAGACCTGGACGACACCGTTTCCTACATGCTTCCTGAAATTAACATCCGCTTGCATCAATCCAAAGTCCCTTTTCCTCGTCCGGCAGCACCATTTTTTTACTTAGAGAGTCTTTTCAGCAATGATCATCGACAAAAGAGAAATATGGGCAGCAGATTCCGATGGAAAGGTTAGAATCAGTATCGGATTCTTAGAAAAAGGACATCGATGGCGGCGCGACGAAGTCAAAGATATCGCTCGAGAATGGGAAGATGCCTGTCCCTGCATTTCCTTCAAATGGACCAGTGACATTGACAATTGCGATGTGCGTATCAGCTTCAATGGCAATATAAGTTGTTCCGAGATCGGAACCAGTGCAAGCGACGATTCTGATGGTGATCATCCGACAATGTCGCTTGGCTATACATCGGATTACGCCTCGAGGAAGCGCCATATTTTACACGAGTTCGGCCATATGCTCGGTGCTGAGCATGAACACTGCTCTCCGGAATTCCCATGGGAATTCCAGAAAAAAGAGGTGATAAAATCCTCTGAAAGAGATGTTCGAAGCAAACATTCATCTTGGTCACCTACGAAAGTAAAAAACGAAGCAAAGGCTTGGGCTCAGAACAACGTGTTCAAGAAATTGGATGCGAAATATCTTATATGCTCGGATTTTGATGATAAATCCATTATGTTGTATCCAATGAAGGCGGATTGGTTGAAGGATAATCCAGACGATCCCCTACCAGAAGACTTAGAAGAGAACTATCACCTTTCACACGACGACCGAAAGTACATGAGAAAAGCCTACAACTGTCGGGTTTCACGTCCAGATTCGGCAGACCCTCGGCCACAACCACTCCCTCAACCGGCACCATACATTCAACCGGGACCAGTTCCCTATCCAGGTGGCGGCGTGTTCGGTGGAATGCCGGACTGGTGGCAGGCCAGGTGGGGTGGACCATACGGTGGACCAAAGGTGAATTGACAGCAAATCTCACCCGCACCGTGCGGGTTGCTATGTTACTGGCAGACTATTCTTGTTCATGCCTTATATTGGAGATCAATGAGTCCATTCGTTAAGCACATTGATGTTTGATATTATTGATGTAGCTAAATTCACATCTCACAATGTTTCTGACAGTGGTGCGCCAACTTGATTGTGCCAGAAGATATTTATAGGATATTTGTGGGAACCGTATCAATGCATGCGGGATAGGCATCAGGCCAACCGTATGTAAAGACTTGGTAGCATGTGTCTAACCTGCCTAAATACCTACCTTTTTCATAACCTTCCCAAGGGTTTACCTTGCAGTGCCAAGAGTAGGCCCTCATAGAAGTTCAAGATAATCTTCAGGCGTTCGCAGCGGCGATAGCTTCACAATACGGCGGACCAATTGGATGAATCCCTGTCAACATGGCTTGCTGGATGTTTGCTGTCACGGGCTTCACCGTATTTCACAGCTGGCTATCCATGATATTACCCCGCTTGTGGCGCAGGGGATGCGAATATTGAATGATGTGGATATGGGAGTATGTGGAGAGGCCCCGGGACAGCGGTCATTACTATCATTTCGACCCGGTTCAGTGCCATTCAGGAGCAAGATATCACAACTCCCCTTTCATCATCATCCATGGCAAGATACAAACCCGTCTTTCCGTTCTTCTGCTTGGTCGCTTGAGTTCTATAGCCCATCAAGGGTATACCGATAAACGAACGCCCCGGGGGTCGGTATACTCAGTGCTAAGATAAGCCCAGTATTATTTTCTGTCTTACTTTAGGGCAGTAAATCCAGAAAGACCTCATCAGTATATACGCATCACCTGGGCACTCAGATAAGCATAGTAAGATATTTCTTGCAATATATACAATCCACCTTTACCCCCATCCTAGCACATACGACGTGATAGCGTATCGGGGCGCTAAACCTAAAAAGGCAAAACTAACCTGATGTAGTAATTCATAGGTCCACCGTTTACATATAAAAGAAGCCTTTCTATACTAGGTTTAGCGGTTAATGAAATATAAATTTTTAATCACCATCCCCTAGCATTCAGCCTATTTATACAAATAATCTCATCATTTGTATACAAGCTAATACATAGTCTGAATGCCATGGAATGGTGGGTGGATAAGTTTCCGGCCTTCTTAATGCACAAATTGACTAAACTAATTGTATTAGGCCGAAGCAGCGCGAGACGCGAGATTCTTTTCACTAAATATGTCTGTTGTAATAGAGCTTAGGTAAGAGTTCAAGGAAGACTAGAAACCGGTAGATCAACGTGGACATAGCCGTGAGCTGTGCCAGGCGCCCAATACACCTACCGGGTATTGGTGCGCTCCAGCAAACGCAAACTTTTCCACCAAACGCAAGATCTAGAAATTAGGTATCTTTCATATGACTTGCCTATACAAAAGGTACTTAGGCGCCCCGTAGGCATAATATATATTTCCCTTGGCACGGCTATATCTCGTTAACGTGAGATTTTAGCGTAAAACACCTATGCCCATATATATATTCGACCAGAAGACACCCCCAGGAGATCAAGTTTTATTTCGAAAGCAAACAGAAAATCCGTCCACTCCATTTCTTCTACAGTGCAGTCTTCCGTGTTACCCACAATGTCCTCAACCAAGAAATACACAGCTCAAGACCTCAAAGCCTTCCTCGATGGCTCATTCATCGGGGACCCCACCGAAGCGCGTTCCTTCTGTGAACAAAATATGAATCCCAAACTAGTCCGGTTCGCTGCCGGAGGTGATCGAACAGACTTCGAGCGAGCAGTGGAGAAAGTCGGGTTTTTTCGCGCAAATTGCAAGAAATGGGATGCTGAGGTGAAGTTTTTCGCACAGGATGGGAATAAGATTGCGGCACGGTTGATTTTATATATTGCAGTTGGGGAGGATCCTGAAAAGAAGATGGAGCTGATGTTCATGGCGGAGCTTGATGAAGCGGGGCGTTATTTGAACCTTTGGGAGCAAGGTACTGATTATCTTGGTGGCGAGGAATAATGGTGATGGATAGTGGGAACGTTGGCATCTATGCTGTATATTGATGATTATCCTACTCAAGTCGAATGTAAGGACTTGTGGGTGTTGCCATTGAAAACAACGGTTCTTGATCGGAGGACACAGATCGTCAATTGCGATAGAGTAAAGTGATATAACCTTGAAGGTCTGCTAAACGACTTCTATATCATATAAATATGATGTTCGGTTTCGGTATCATTGGAAGAAAGGGATCCCCCAATTTATATCCATTGTGTACTCCGTACTGGCTGCCGAAAGCATTTTGCAGTTGAATTTAGTCCACTCCGTACGGAGTAAGTGCATGCCGATCATCGACCCTAAGATAACCCCAGTAGAAGTAGATACAGTGGAGCCAGTATGGACACTGTCTGAATTTCACACATCGGTCAACTTCCGACGCTAAGACGCGGCCCTTAAAAGCTTTGTCAATAACTTGACCCACAATTTTCTCAAATGCCGAAGTTCTTTACGAGAACATGGGGGCAATACTAGGCGTTCATCAATGTCCCTCCAACAAGAGTGGTCACGGCAATACATTGGCCGGGCATCCGGCTACAAAACACCTTCACCCTGAGCGGGGGGTGCTTTGGTGGGGTTTTGTGTATACTGAACTCTACCATTCTGCCTTTGATGGTAATCCTTAAGGCAGCAAGGTGCCCGACTCGAACTAGCTCCACATCGCGGTAGAGTCGGGCGTGGGATTCTGAAAAAGTAATTTCTAAGACTATCGTGGGCTTCTTTGGGCCCCAAATGCTATCCCGCTCTTCCGTTTCATGGGGAAGTGCAATTGTGGTACCTGAATAGTCCACAAGCACATGATTTAATTTCATTTTGACAACTAGGGTGTTTTCGGAGGGTTGGAATAAAAACAATGTATTTATTATCGACTTTTGTAGGATGATTGAGAAATGGGAGTTGAAGATATCTGAAGAGTTGGTAAAACTCTTCCTTTCCTTGATATTGGTATATCCTCGTTGTGGAACGTAGAAATAGATCATGCAGAAGGATTTCCAGATTCTCATTGGGGCCAGTTTCGCAAGAATTAGGCATCTAGAAAGACCTCTAGAAAGACCCTAAAAAGAAATACCGAAGAAAGTAACCCAAGAGGACATGTAAAATTGTATGTCATTCATGAAGTCACCAGTTTACAACCGGATCTTTTATCCTGGAAAGTCATAAGTATCTCAAGTCAAAGTATATATTTACATGTTACATATGGATCTAATGACATACCTGTGAGCAATGTCTAATATTAATAATAGATGGTAGCTAAGAATAGTTAGTTACTATCTGTCTGATAGGATCAACATAGTAGATTAAGATCCGTACTAGATACTACATTATCGAGACAAAATAAAGGTGAAAAAAATAGTCGAAGAGAAAAGAAAAAAAAAAAGGCCAAGAGGCTCTAAGAGATCGACGATCATCACGTTGAATGTTGAACGTTGACATTCTGGGCCTTGGCTTCTCCTGTGTTCTTCAAACCTTTTTTTTTTTCTTTTCCACATCCTTGACCTCACCATTATCTCTCAGGAACTTCTGTTTTCCTTCCACTTGGCAGGTCCAAGAGTCTCCTCATTTACTCTATGCCATGATGCGAGGGTAAATCTCGCTTACCCCCCCCTTTTTTTTTCTCTCCCTTATTTCTGTACACATTATGGAGTCACGACCTGAAGAGATGCGCCGTCAACCCGGGATCAACTCCGGGGTTGTTCCCGAGGGTAAGGAGGACGTCATCATCGGTTTTTCACAGGCACCACCCCGGACACGATCCCCTTTGGCCCGATCGCATCTCCGCTCTCGATCACTGGCTGGAATCCCGGGCATGCCGTCTATGACGCGCGCTTATTCCTCCCCAGGGCTGGACTCCCAGGGTCGTTATATCTTCGTCAATGGCCGTGGAACACCAGTCGACGCGAAAAGATATCCCCTGCAAATGCGCCCTGACGATTATATCGACCGCATGGGCTCCCTCAATATTTCAGAAACCATCTCCGAGAACGCAGAATTAGAAACCATTCCCAAATCGCCTTCACAATCAGCCTCATCTCCTATCTTGATGCCACAGACTTTCCCCCGCGTCGGTCGCCTGCGTCCGACTTCACCCCTTCCTTTCCAGACCCCCATCAGCCCCTCCTTACAGTCCTCGCCCATTCTGGGCTCCAAATACAACGAATCTTACCCCGGTCAATCTGGCTCCGTTTCGTCCATTTCCGTCCCCTCAACCCCGACCAGCCTTCGCTCCCGAAGCCCCAGCATTTCGTCCCTGGAAACAATCCCCGACATCCCGGACGCTGAGAATGAGGCCCTCGAAGAGGATCGCATTGCGCAATTGAAAGCCGCGGCTGATGCAGCCGACGCGGCAACTACTGCCAACCGACGGCGTGGCGCATCCGATGTGCCCACCTCATTCACCACCATGCGCGGGGGGTCGGGCGGATATGCAGTTCGAAGCGATAAGCGCAAGCGATGGAGTGTCTGTGGTGCCGAGCGACGGCAGGATCTCGACCTGGAGACCATCTGGGAAGACTGAAGTGTGTTTCCTAGTTTCCCATACACGAGTCCATCCGATCTCCGCGCCTCGTCTGCTACAACCAAGCATCCCTTGTGCCCCTACATTTGTCTCATAGTGGAGTTGATCTCCACTACTTCTTTTATCGGCTTCTCTTTACTCGGTGGCGCTTTCCTCCGTTCTCTGACTTTCCTTGATACCCTTCCATTACCTCCGGCTCGTACATATCCTTCGCAGTCATGTTTTTCATTTCAAAAAATGCGTTCATCATGGAGTTCTACGGCAGTGACATTGGTTTTCACCTCCCCGCTTCTAGCGGATTAGCAGCTTCGACCAGGCGCATGGTTTTTTTTTTTTTTTTTTTGTATCTATTATGCTGGGTCATAATTGAGCTTCGTCTTTTTCTGATTTGCAGTGCCGTTATTTGACCCGACATCTGCGATGTGATGTCTTTTAGAATCGCTTTCTCAATGCAATTGGGCCTTTAGCTCCCCCGAAATAATCTATTCCTTGTAGCCCGAGTAGACAGACCTATTAACCCCCCGTGGATCATGTAGAGCTGGCATGGATAAGAGAATCCCGAGGTCCAGGTGTGGAGAACGGCAACCAATCATCCCACCCAATGACATCCAAAATCTTCACTTGATCGTCAAACCTTCCAGGTTCATCTTATCTACTCACTTTGGGCTATATCAACCTCAATATCTAAAACTTTCGGAACGCCATGGCTTCAAGTTCGCATATCGGCGTCATCGGCGCAGGCATTTCAGGCCTCCGCTGCGCCGACATCCTCATCCAAAACGGGGCCCGAGTAACAATCCTAGAAGCAAGAGATCGCATTGGTGGGAGAGTATGTCTTCCTTCTACCCGGGAGCTGAACTCCAAAGTCAAGTCAGTTTTTTTTTTAACTTTTTCGTTTAGGTGCACCAATCAACAGTGGGAGACCATGCAGTGGATCTGTATGTACGCATGACCACTTGGAAAGTATATCTCAACTAATGCTCAATTTAGAGGCCCTAATTGGATCCATGGCGCGGGGGAGAACCCTATCATGACCATAGCGGAAGAAACGGGGACCGTCATGTATGATCCCGAGGGTGGAAGGCATATCTCCTACTCGCGAGACGGTCACCCGGTCAATGACGAAGTGAATGCTAAAGTCCAGGACTTTGTATGGACTACCATAGCGGAAGCCTTCAAATACAGCAATCACCATGGAGAAAGTATCCCCGTCGAAACGAGTCTGTTCGATTTCTTCTGCGAACGAGTCCAACAAACCAACTTCTCAGATGAAGAGAAACAGCTTTGTCTCGAGGCCTGTAGGCTGTGGGGTGCATATGTCGGTGATCAAGTCGACAAGCAGAGCTTGAAATTCTTCCGTCTGGAAGAATGCGTTGATGGCAGTAGGCGCCTTTACAAAATCATTCCCGGTTGCATATCCGACTTTCTAACATAACCCATCAAGGCAACTTCATCGTGGCATCTACATACAAGCGCATCCTAGAGCACGTCTCCAAAACCGCCGTCGCTAAAGCCGACATCCGCCTCAACGAACCCATCACCAGCATCAACGCACCACCTCGCAACATCCAATCCCAGACAAAGCACCAAGTAACCGTAACAACAGCAACAGGAACAACCTACAACTTCGACGAAGTAGTCGTAACATGTCCCCTGGGCTGGCTGAAGCAAAACACCTCAGCATTCACGCCCGCTCTTCCACCTCGTCTCGAACAAGCAATTACCAATATATCATATGGCCGACTAGAAAAAGTCTACGTGACATTCCCGCGAGCCTTCTGGCACACCAACGACACCAACACCTTAACAACCCAAACCACCCAAACCACCAACACTGTCTTCGCCCAATTCCTCGACCCATCCTACACACCCCACCCAACACACATAGAATGGAACCAAGAATGCGTGTCGCTAGCCTCACTCCCAGACCCACACGCCCATCCAACCCTCCTCTTCTACACATACGGCGACGGTGGCGCAGAGATAATAAACCGTCTCTCGGGGCTAGAGCCCTCATCATCTAAATACGGAGACTCGCTAATCGAAACACTGCATCCCTTCTACTCCCGACTCCCCGGGTACAGCGCGGAGAATCCGGATTGTGTGCCGGTTGCGCTGCTTGCTACGCAGTGGCAGAAGGATGAGTTTGCTGGGAATGGGTCGTATTGTAATTTCCAGGTTGGGGTTCAGGAGGCGGATGTTGATATTGAGGTTCTTAGGTCCGGGGATGGGATTGGTCCGGTTAGGGGACTTTGGTTTGCTGGGGAGCATACGGCGCCGTTTGTGGCGCTTGGGACTACTACCGGTGCGTACTGGAGTGGGGAGAGGGTTGCGAGATTGGTTTGTCGTGGGGTTGGGATTGGGGAGGTTGGGGGGATGGGAGGTCAAAGATGATGCTTTGCCTTCTGCTGAGGATGGGACTTGATTTAGGAGGAAGGGAGGGTTGTATTTATACTTATCAAATGAGAGATTGAGAAATGTTTGGCTTAGGTCTTGTTTGAAGAACTATAGCTTATAGCATGATAAGATACCCTGCGTGTCTACAAGTCACGAGGTGTGTCAATTATACAATGGACCCAGCAAGTCGAACATCTTCATTCATACTTAAATAAGGTATGTTAGGTCGTTGGATTCATTCAAGGATTAGCATCTTTCCCGGGAGCTTTTTTCGCATTTGTTCAAGTCACACCCACCATCAAAACAGCAGGCCAAGAGGACCAAACAGGTCCACCGAGTAAGCACCGTAGACGAAAGACAAAAAATCATCCATGGATGTATCAAGATGCATGAAAGATGCAAAGAAGAAAAAAAAAGGAACAGGCCCGAATAAAAAGTATATCATGGACAGGGTTCACGTGACAGTGGCAATAACCGCTTGCAAGCACATATCATGAAGACGACAATAAAAATAGAAAAAAATACATCAGGGCTCCGAACAAAGGAAATGAAAAATAAACAGATGCAAAGATGATAGGCAATGAGGCTTCGGAATGTATCAATCATGCATCCATTCCTTATCGCCAGGCTCCCTGGCTCAACGACAGGAGACCCTGCACACAGTCCAGGTCATCTTCTTGACTATCCCCCGACCCACCGGCCATGAAAGCCGAGACTTCTGCACTAAGTTCTGGTGGGGCTTTGCCCAGTGAGCCGGTCTGTAGTGGTCGATTGCGTTTGCCGTTAGTCGAGATGCCGAGACCGCGATTACGGTTGGCATCGCGGAGGACCGGTCGTGGGATGTGCGAAGTATTGCGACGACGAATATTTGTCGATCGTGTGCCTGGGACCCAGTTCTCCTTATCAGAATCGCCGTGGTCTTGCTCTAGATCCGGCTTGCCGGATTTCGTGAATAGAGGCTTGGATAGCTTGGATGGGTTTATGTTCGCCTTATTTCGGCCTGTCTCTAGTCTCCCTAGAGATGAAACAGTGCGGGCGAGCTTCCTCCTCTTCTCTCCTATAGACTGAGAGATTGGCGTGTTTGGGTCGTAGTGCCGCCCCGAGGTACTCCGGGGTAATGAGCGCTGGCTGCGAGATTGGAAAAGACCCGGGGAACCGTTCGGCCCACTAGTCGGTGTTGATAGAGCACTCCTTGCGTCCGTGTCACAGAATGATTCCCAGTTTCGTGAATCACGAGAGCGACCAAAAGCACGATCCTTCTCGGTTACACCTGCCCGCGGTGTGGCTGGGAAGACGGCGCTGCTAGTACGCCGCAGGCTTGACATCTTTGTTCGGCGAACTGAGAACATGGCCACGCGGTTCTTGGACGGCGATGGTTCGTTCTCTCCGCGGATTACTGCCTTTCCATCCGATGACATCGCAATGCGTAACGCATTGCGGCCCTTGGGCGGAGATGGCGTTAGCTCGCCCTCTTTGCGCAACAAAGCCTCTCCATCAAACGACATTGACAAACGCAGCGATGGGGGTGACCTGGTAGGTGTGGTGTATGTGTTTTGTGTGGTTGTTGCCTGTTGCTCATATTCTCCCTCGCCCCGGATATCCGTCACTGAACGCTTTCTTTTTGGTACCTGCAGAAAAGAGTCTTCTGAGTGGTCATTCACCAGTTGGGAAAACTCTTCCTGTGTGGTGGGCGGAGTTTCTCCAGCCTCTGTCGCGACGCTTGTTTGCGTGCTCTGAGGCAGCTCATGTTCATCTTTATCTTCAGTGACTGGGTCCGAATCATCTGAAAAGTGTAACAGTCCCCCGTGCCATGGTTTTGATGCCATTTCCTCGCGGTGGTCGTTGTTGTCAAACTGCTCTGCCCCACTTGAAGACCCCGGCTCCGTCGACGCGTTATCATCACTGAAAGGCTGACCCGATGAATCGGCCATGCCCGACCGCGGGGCGAGTAATTCGTGAGGCTGAAGGGGTTTGGATTTCCGACGATCGTTCTGGCGGCGGTTTTGGAACCAAATCTGTCGAGCTAGTTAGAAGTGGTTTCTGTGCGTGAACTCTTGGCATTGCATACTTGGACCTCTTTCTCGCCGAGTGAGACGCGGTTCACGATACTTGTACGGGCTGCTTTGTCCGGTTTGGGATTTTGCTGGTATTCAGATTCAAGGACGGCGTGATCCTCCGGACTAAAAAAAAAATAGTTCAAACCGGATTAATTGACGCGTTCATAGTATGAACTGGACTCCAACCATAATCGCATACCTAGTCCGACGTCGCTTCTGGCGGGCTAACAGTTTATTGTCGACACGAGGAGGAAGGTTCTGTGTGAGTGTTTTTTGCGAATGAACGAGGAAAGCGTAGTTAAGAGGATTGGAGTCGGTGGCCGGGAGAGAGGGCGAGGATGAGATCGCCACCGAAGGCTCCGGATCAGACATGATACCTAAGAGAGCATGGAGGGGTTGGGAAGGTAAAGAGAAATAAACCAGAACACCTGACTACCAGATCAATAAAATAAAATAAAAAAGACAGAAGATTGAAAAAGCCGTGAAGGCTGGCATGCAGAAAACGGTATCAAATCGCGTCGCGGTGTGGACGCGGAGTAGAAAGAACGTGGCCCGCGCTAGTAACAAGGTGCTCCCCCGAGGTACTTGGTACTTGGACCCCCGATTTCTTTCTTTAATTTGATTTGAACTTAGTCCTTTTAAGTCTGAATTACTTATTTATTCGAGTCCTTAGAATGCTACTATTACATTTGTCTCTATTGACGCGTTGGGCGGGTAGAGATGGTTGGGCCCACATTTGGTATGAGGTTGCAGTAGTCTATACAGTTATCTGCGTGAAGCGCGAAGCGTGTCGCGTTCGATACAGGCATATTTGAAACCCTCTTGCTCGGATTAAAACCACAGAGGGATCAACCATGGCATTTGCCTTGATTGCCTTTTTTTTCAACTGATCTGCCTGTGAGCGTCCAACGCGTGGTGACGCGCCCTCACGTGACTCCACGAGGAAGACTTGCACGTGGTGGAATGTGATCTCTCGGAAGGTTTTTTTTTTTTCTTTTTTTGAAAGGGATACATATTAATCTTGTAAATAAAAAGAGATCCCGTCTCTCTAGTGTTCTCAGATCGGGAGGGGCATTGATAATTTGACTCCCAACTGTACCTCTGTGGGTCACCGGTGAAGTAGAAACTCCCACCTCAGAGAAAGAACCTCAAATACAGTCGACAGCTGACAATAATAGCCTGCTTAACAGTAGCAGATCGGAATGATCGGATCTGAACGTAACCATTCCAGACCCCCTGGGGAAATCCAAAGTTCAATGTTCGGGTCAAGTTTGGGGAAAATCAGTTCATCCATGGGCCAGAGCGGCACAGTCCCATTAGTTCTTATATACCCAAGTACCTACATAGGTAGCTACCTTCAACCTCACCTCTCCCTGCTTTTTGTAAATTCCTCGCCTATTAGATGAAAGAAGCAATAACCTTGACCCTTTCGACAACGGTAATCAGCGTATGTTGTACAATATTGACTATAGACCGCTTCGACCGCATATTCGCCACCCAATTAGGAGCATTCCAATGTTTGATCGGCACAATCCTATAAAAAGCTGCTCGGACCTCTAAATTATCACAGAAAGTTGCATTATTACAAGTTATGTCATCGGCCTGATGTCTATGTCTGTCTCAGTCTACCAAGCCGAGTGTACCCACTGAGGAACCAAGTGTATTGATGCTTTTCGGTAGACGCACGATGAGCAAGCCAAGTAATAAGTGATGATGATATATATGCATGACATCAATCAGAAATGCAACCGGTAGACAGGAAAGAGAAAAGCATACATGTAACAAATGTAGAGGATGTCTGTCGGTCTGCTAATAAGTGTACATGCATTCGAGCTAACCGAATGCGACTCTGGGGAAACTACATTGCTTCGACAACAGCCTATCATGCAAGCGGATGATTTACATAGCCGGCATCCGACCATGCAAGGTGCTCTCATCTCCAAATGTTTCCATCATGACTATCTCGTGTTCACTATGTTTAAGCACAGCTATATTCAAAGAGATCTACGGTTGACCGACGCTTGCTACAGCTGTGTATCAATAACCACATATGCAGTAGATCAGTATATCCCTTTCGTTGTATTATCCTCCAGTCGTTAGGGACTTTCTTCCAATGATTTGGCCACCGATGTACAGACTGGGTTGGTAACTACTCTAGTATTCCTGGAGTAGCAGTGACCTATACACGATTCTAATTAGGTTTAAATCCAGACCCTAATAGTCCTGGGGTGAAATAAAGTAGGAGTCTAGAATACCAGAAAAGAGTAAATACTGCCAGTTAGAATGTTCGAAGAATGTGTCCGTCAAAACTGCAAGACCCTTGCAATGATAAAGTAGGGGAGTGGAGTAGTGTATACTCCGTACAGCGAAGGTTAACCTTGGCCGAGTTTGAAACAGAGTCCTCTACACATAATCTGGACATTTGGATCCCAACTAGTAGACTAATATAGAGAAAAATACGAAGCCGATAGACAAATAGGCAAAATAATAAGGCATCTACGTATGTTTCAAATATCTTTGAAGAATCCCATATGCAACCAAAAGGTAAAAAGGACAATTCAACCGATCAACATTCCCTGAGGGCCTATCCCTTCCATCTCACAGTGTTGATTGGTTCAAGACAGGGAGATGCTCAATACCCAAATAAGCCAAATAAAAGGGAAAAAATAAATAGCTCGTCGTATGATGATCCTCTCTTCCCCGCTTTGACGCTTGGACATGGAGATCATCCCCAGATCAATTGATATTCCCTGTGCACACTACATTTACAATTCTTATCTCCTTTGGATTTTGACATTCTCAGACATCTGTCTCTGTATTCACCTCTTCAGAATTGCACTAATATTTCAGCTCTATCTTTTGGTTAATTTTTCTTCTTTGTGAAAGGTCTAGTGTAGTGTTATACTACGACCAGACTCCCTAAACCGGTGCGGCGACCGG